CTCGGTCCTATCTTGTTTCTGATATATGTAAATGATCTCCCGGAGGGTATCGATTCATTTCTCTCAATGTTTGCGGACGATGCTAAAATTATGAGAAGGATTAAAACAGAAGAGGACTGTTTGAGGCTTCAAGAAGACCTAGACAAGCTGAAGGAATGGTCGAACAAATGGTTGTTAGAGTTTAACCCAACCAAATGTAATGTAATGAAGATGGGTGTAGGGAGCAGGAGGCCAGATACAAGGTATCATCTGGGAGAGGAAATTCTTCAGGAGTCAGAGAAGGAAAAAGACTTGGGGGTTGATATCACGCCAGACCTGTCTCCTGCAGCACATATCAAGCGGATAACATCAGCGGCATATGCCAGGCTGGCCAACATACGAACGGCATTCAGAAACTTGTGTAAAGAATCATTCAGAACTTTGTATACCACATATGTCAGGCCAATCCTGGAGTATGCAGCCCCAGCATGGAGTCCATATCTAGTCAAGGATAAGACTAAACTGGAAAAGGTTCAAAGGTTTGCCACCAGACTAGTACCCGAGCTGAGAGGTATGAGCTACGAGGAGAGACTACGGGAATTAAACCTCACTTCGCTGGAAGACAGAAGAGTTAGGGGGGACATGATCACCACATTCAAGATTCTGAAAGGGATTGATAGGGTAGATAAAGACAGTCTATTTAACACAAGGGGAACAAGCACAAGGGGACACAGGTGGAAACTGAGTGCCCAAATGAGCCACAGAGATATTAGAAAGAACTTTTTTAGTGTCAGAGTGGTTGACAAATGGAATGCATTAGGGGGTGATGTGGTGGAGGCTGACTCCATACACAGTTTCAAGTGTAGATATGACAGAGCCCGATAGGCTCAGGAATCTGTACACCTGTTGATTGACGGTTGAGAGGCGGGACCAAAGAGCCAGAGCTCAACCCCCGCAAACACAACTAGGTGAGTACAACTAGGTGAGTACACACACACACACACACACACACACAAAGAACTTTATTAGAAAGAACTTTTTTAGTGTCAGAGTGGTTGACAAATAGAATGTATTAGGAAATGATGTGGTGGAGGCTGACTCCATACACAGTTTCAAGTGTAGATATGATAGAGCCCAATAGGCTCAGGAATCTGTACACCTGTTGATTGACGGTTGAGAGGCGGGACCAAAGAGCCAGAGCTCAACCCCGCAAACACAACTAGGTGAGTACAACTAGGTGAGTACACACACACACACTCACAGACACACACACACACACACACACACACACACACACACACACACACACACACACACACACACACACACACACACACACAGCCAGCCAGCTATACTCCATCCAGTGATTTAGAGGAGTAGAAGCTACTCTAAATAGGTAACATGTTTGTGAGATTGTATTTACTATTTATTCCTGCAGAATCGAGCTATTAGCTCTTGGACCCCGCCTTTCTATCGAGCTATCACATTTACTATATTTATTTCTCTCTAACACACGTGCACACAGACACATCATCAGGAAGCAGCCCGTAGTAGCTGTCGAACTCCAAGGGTCCTATTTATTGTTAGGTGAACAGATACACCAGAGTAAAAGAAACTCTGGCCATTTGCTTCTGCTTCTACAGGTGTGGGCGTTAGTGTACTCAGCTAGTTGTACCTGTTGGATCGAGCTCTAGCTCATAGACCCCGCTAGAGGCCCAAGAGCTCTTGGACAGCAATCTGAAAACCTCTTTATTCAAGTTCATGAAGGCTGTTCAGACTTTTGCAAGCGCTGAAATAAGTTTATATTTGCCAGCGTTGAGTATGCGGCTGACGTTAACTATTCATATGTCTCTCTGGAATTAGGTTTGGTGTTATGTTCATTCCAAAGTTTATTTTCTCTATTCGTTATAGGAAGGTAGTTTCCCTTCATCATGTAATGGCCTTTCGATCTCTAGGCTCCTGATCCTGTTTCCATCACCTTATACTTGCTGGTGTTAAACTCTAGCAGCCATTTCTCGGACCAGCTCTGGAACCCTGATCAAATCATCTGGGATAATCTTACAATCCTCATCTGTCTTAACCCTCCTCATTAGTTTTACGTCATCTGCAAACATTGATATATAAGAGTCAACTCCTACAGTCAAGTCAGTTTCATAAATGAGGAATAGTATAGGACCCAGCACCGATCCTTGAGGCACCCCGATTGTTACTCTACGCCAGTCCGACTCCTCGCATCTCACTTTTAGTCCCTGACACCTGTCTGTCAGGTATTTCCTTACCCATGACGGTGCTTTTTCGTCTACTCCCGCCTGTCTCTCAGGTTTGTATACTAACCTCCTGAGTGGTATTGTATAAAAGACTTTTTTCCAGTCCAAAAATATCTGTCCAGACTTCTCAGTCTTGCCTTATTTTCGTTACCCAATCATAAAATTCCAGGAGGTTCGTCAGGCATGATTTCCCATCTCTAAAGCCATGTTATTATTTACTTACAAACCTAATTCTTTCTAGGTGTGCAACTAGTCTTACCCTTATAATTCTTTCAAGTACTTTGCAAGGGTGCTTGTGACACTGGTCAGTAGTTAAGTGCCTCTTCTCTATCTTTCTAGTAGATTGGCACCACATTTGTCTTTTTTCAGCAGCTAGGCAATTCCTCCTTTGAAAGTGACTTATTAAAGATTAGTGCTAGAGGTAAATTGAGGGCCTGTCATGCTTCTTATAACAGCCATGGTGATACTCTTTCAGGCCCAGTAGCTTTAGCTGCATCCAGTGATGCTAGTTGTATTCTTACTTCCTCTGCTGATACCTCAATATTTAGTTATTTTTCGTCAGGGGACTGCTTCCTCATCTAGCTATGGAAGTTACACCCAATAGGCTCAGGAATCTATACACTTTTTGTATTTTGGGGCTACATTATCCGTCTTCTATAGTTCTGGTAGGTCACCCGTTTCCAGTGATCTACTATACACTATGGAGAGTGGCAAACAAAGTGTACCTGCACACTCTTTCAATACCCATGGTGAGATTCCGTCCAGCCAATCAGCTTTTATCACGTCCAGCTCCAATAGGTGCTTCTTTACCTCATCTCTTATAATTTCGAACCTTTCCAAGGTCGCTTGGTTTGCTGCCACCTCTCTTAGCGCCGTGAGTTTTCCTTGTTCTATTGTAAAGACCTCCTGGAACCTTTTGTTGAGTTCCTCACACACCTCTTAGTCATTCTCTGTGCACCTGTCCTCACCCATCATTGTTTCATCGCCTGTTCCTTCACTGTTGTCTTCCTCCTGATGTGACTGTGTAGTAGTTTTAGTTCGGTCTTAGCTTTGTTAGCTATATCATTTTCATATCTTTTCTCAGCTGCTCTTTTCACACTAACATACTCGTTCCTGGTTCTCTGGTATCTCTCTATACTTTCAGGTGTTCTGTTATTACGGAAGTTCCTCCATGCTTTTTTGTTCAGCTCCTTTGCTTTCATATATTCCCTAGTAAACCATCGATTCTTCTTTTGCTTCTCGGTTTTTTTCTGTCGAGCCGGGACAAACCTGCTTACAGCCTCCTGATACTTTTGGGTGACTTAGTCCATCATGTCTTGTACGGACTTGGTTCCGAGTTCTGTGTCCCATTGTATATCCCTAAGGAATTTTTTCATCTCCTCATAGTTTCCTTTTCGGTACGCCAGCCCTTTGTTTCCCAGTTCTTTTTTTGGGGAGATAATTCCTAGCTCAACCAAGTACTCAAAGCACAATACACTATGATCATTGATTCCCAGAGGGGGCTTCCAACTTAACTTCTTTTATATACGACTCATTTAGGGTAAATATCAGATCAAGCAAGGCTGGTTCGTCCACTCCTCTCATTCTTGTCGGTCCCTTGACGTGTTGACTTTGAAAGTTTCTTGTTGCCACGTCCAACAGCTTAGCTCTCCATGTGTCTTGTCCACCATGTGGGTCTCTGTTCACCCAATCTGTCTTCCCGTGGTTGAAGTCTCCCATGATTAGTAGTCTGGATCCGTTCCTGTAAGCCACAGAAGCTGCTCTCTCTATTATATTAATAGTGGCCATGTTGTTTCTATCATATTCCTGTCTGGGTCTTCTGTTGTTCGGTGGGGGGTTATATATAACTACTACTATAATTTTCTGTCCTCCAGTTGCTATGGTGCCTGATATGTAGTCACTGAAACCCTCACAGCCCTGAATAACCATCTCCTCAAAATCCCAGCCATTTCTTACAAGCAGAGCTACACCACACCACCTCTTATTGTGTTGGTATGTTGCTTGTGTGCGTGTGTGTGTGTGTGTGTGTGTGTGTACTCACCTAATTGTGCTTGCGGGGGTTGAGCTTTGGCTCTTTGGTCCCGCCTCTCAACCGTCAATCAACTGGTGTAAAGATTCCTGAGCCTACTGGGCTCTATCATATCTACATTTGAAACTGTGTATGGAGTCAGCCTCCACCACATCACTTCCTAGTGCAGTCCATTTATTAACTACTCTGACACTGGAAAAATTCTTTCTAACGTCTCTGTGACTCAACTGGGTACTAAGTTTCCACCTGTGTCCCCTTGTTCGTGTCCCACCCGTGCTGAAGAGTTTGTCTTTGTCCACCCTATCAATTCCCCTGAGAATTTTGTAGGTGGTTATCATGTCTCCCCTTACTCTTCTGTTTTCCAGGGATGTGAGGTTCAGCTCCTTTAGCCTTTCCTCGTAGCTCATTCCTCTCAGTTCCGGGACGAGCCTGGTGACACACCGCTGAATCTTCTCTAACTTTGTCTTGAGTTTAACTAGGTATGGTTTGTGTGTGTGTGTGTGTGTGTGCGTGTGTGTGTGTGTGTGTGTGTGTGTGTGTGTGTGTGTGTGTGTGTGTGTGTGTGTGTGTGTGTGTGTGTGTGTGTGTGTGTGTGTGTGTGTGTGTGTGTGTGTGTGTATGCGTGCGTGCGTGTGTGCGTGCGTGCATGCGTGTGTGCGCGTGCCTGCGTGTGTACACGGCGGGCGAGCGTATAAATAAAGCACCAACGGGTGTCTGCCTCACTTCCCCAAAGATCACCGAGAGGTCGCCATGGCAACATTCTCAGCCATCCTGCTGTCGGTGCTGGCGCTGGTGACGGCTGCCCAAGAGATTCAGACACTTCAAGATCTATCCAACACGCTGCTCCTCAACCAGCTGGCAATGTCCAACATGCTGGCTGAACGCGACTCCGGAACCAGAGGTAAGGAGACTACTGGAGCAGGTTCACAGTCACGTAGGAGCTGTTGAAGTTTACTGTGGGGGAAATTGTAATCCAGTTGGATGATAAAGCTGGTGTTGGAGTGTGGTATGGCGGTAAGTGTAGTTGAGTTGGATGATAGTGTTGTTGTTGGGGTGTGGTGTGGCGGTAAGTGTAGTTGAGTTAGATGATAGTGGTGGTGTTGGAGTGTGGTGTGGCGGTAAGTGTAGTTGAGTTAGATGATACAGCTGGTGGTGAAGTGAAGTTCAGTGATTATATATCTTTAAATGAAATTATTCTTTTCTAGTCAGTACCTTGGTCAGTTACTTGCTTATTTAATTACAATTTCCTTCTCAATAGTCGTAATAATTTGTCAACATTATAACCTAAGCTGATCACAAAGTTATCTTTAAGATAAAAGACACCGAACATTTAGGATATAACATACATTGAAGGTTCAGGAGATCACAGGTATTGCAGGTTTAGGAGACAACAGAAGGATATAAGACAGAAGCGACCAAGACTACATAAACTACTGTTAATACCTCTGTTCATTACCGACCATGTTATTGTAATGTTGTTTTCGTCGTTTATATTTCAGTAATAAGAGAGTGGCTGAATGACCTGCAATCAAACATTACCTCCGGTGAGTGGCTCTTGCGTTTGTACACTTGTTCTTAATTTGTTTACGTCAACTACTCACAAGATGGTATGGTGCAACCTGGCTCCTCTCTAGTACACTTTGCTAGTGTGGTGTGGTAGAAGCACTCTGAGGAGCCAGAGATTACTAAAGGACTGCTTAACTGTGAATTAGCATTACATTTGATATGTATATATTATACTGAGTACGTTCTTTCTCAGTTAAGAGTTCCTCCTCTTAACAGATATTCCTCTTCTGAGAGTCAAGCGCCTCGACCCGTTTGACGATCACTGCTCTAGAGTATTATTGAAACTTTTACATACTGATTTTTTAACAATTTCTAGATGAATAGTTTTTTGTTTAATAAAGTGATTTTAAACGACTCTTCTTGACTGATAAATGTCAATTTTATAAATATTTCGCTTTCAAGATCTTAATCAGAAATTAATCACATAATATGTTTTCCCTTTCCAGAAATAGCGGCTTTGCAGAACGTTGTTAAAGCTAATGGTGTTCCCCAAGATGCTGGTAAGGGTAATACTGTTCCCCCATAATGATAGTGAGGGTTATGGTGTTCCCTAATATGATGGTGAGAATTATGGTATTCCCCAAGATGATGGTGAGGGTTATCGTGTTTTATAATATAATGGTGAGGGTAATGGTGTTCCCCCAAGATTCTGGTAAGGGTAATAGTGTTCCCCATTAGAGACAAAGAAGTTATAAAACAGCATCACTATCAACAGCATTATCCAAAAACGTCACAACGAAGTTCAAAACTGCTCATCATTGCAACCACCATTGACCATAGGAAGTTGCACACACTTAAAGCCATCTATATTACGGGGCGTTCACTATTGATGAACACGTAAATTCATTTGACATCAAATATTCACTTGTCTGATGGGCCTCTTTAGCATTAAGAGAAGGCAAATGTCGTATTCGAAAACTGTTCCCCTGGTTCACCTGACCTTGTAGATCCCTTGGTCACTTTACCTTGTAGTTCCGATTGATTGATTGATTGATAAAGATTAAGCCACCCAAGAGGTGGCACGGGCATGAATAGCCCGTAAGTGGTACAATTTTTTTTTTCAGTGCTCTGAGGTTGCATTTAACCATCAAGATGTTATCGCGGGGGAGGATACTGCTGCACAGTCTTTATGAGGGTGTCCAGCTGAAGTGTTGTTTTAGATTCAGCTACTCGGAATATAGGTTTCCAAGTAGCACGCGCTATGGTGAGCCCGTAGTGGACTTACCTGGCACAGGAGCGGTGCAAGTAGCACGGGCTATGGTGAGCCCATAGTGGACTTACCTGGCACAGGAGCGGGGCAAGTAACACGGGCTATGGTGAGCCCATAGTGGACTTACCTGGCACAGGAGCGGGGCAAGTAGCACGGGGCTATGGTGAGCCCATAGTGGACTTACCTGGCACAGGAGCGGGGCAAGTAGCACGGGGCTATGGTGAGCCCATAGTGGACTTACCTGGCACAGGAGCGGGGCAAGTAGCACGGGCTATGGTGAGCCCGCAGTGGAGTTACCTGGCACAGGGAGCGGAAGGCTGGGAAGTTGTTGTTGTTGTTAAAGATTTAGCTACTCAGGACGAAGTGTCCATGTAGCACAGGCTATGGTGAGCCCGTCCCAGCTGAGTTAATATTCGAACAATTTGTAGTTCCCTTGTTCACCTGACCTTGTAGTTCATAGGTCTCATTAGCTAAGAGCTTACCTCACCCGAGCACAAGCTTGACATGACCTTCATGACAAACTACATTCTACTAAAAATCTTAAGTAATGTTTCATTGAATATGAAAGCCTCGACATAATAGTTGCCTAATATATTCATCTGCATGAGTCGTGTGCTCTGTCGCCCACAGGGGTCGTGGAGTGCATGGCACCGTTTGTGGACGTGTATGGTCACTGTATCTTGGTGGAGACGGCACTGACGGGAACTTGGGAAACAATGAGACGTCACTGTCAGCAGAAGGGCGGCGAGATTGTCAAGGTTGACTGTGGCACCTTCATGTATTACCTCGTCAGGTACCTTCACACTAACGGTGAGTTCTTCAGCTCAAGACCTATGTCGTTCCTGAAAACTGTATTATAGCATAATAATTTCTTTCTTTCAAATTCACCTGTACTTCAATATGTCTCCAGGTCTGGCTAAGTTGTCTTACTGGGTCGGTGGGAGAGATGAAGGCCACGAGGGATCTTTCTTCTGGACTGATGGTACCCAGGTCAAGATGGGAACCCCCTTTTGGGGTGACGGCGTTAATGACAATATTCAGGAGCCCGACGGAGGAATCGATCAAAACTGCATGATGATGTACAAGGAAGATCATTATTTTTTCTTCGATTTTTTTTGCAATGGCAGCCGTGCAGTTATTTGTGAGAACCTGAAATTGTCCTAGGAACAATACCTGCCTTCTGTCTTTGAAGTATCAGGTGCTTTATGTTCTTGGAGTATCACCTGCCTCCAGACCTTGGAGGAGCACTTGCCTCCTGACTTTGGAAAAACTAAATACTATTTCTAATGAACTCCTTGTAACTTACTTTACCCTTTAAATGTCAACCTATGTCTTGCTATTTTCAAACTATACTCTTTGTTGGCCAAGTTGTATAATTGCTGATTTCTGCCATGTTCCCCACTCCTCCCTTTTTTCCTTATTTCAACACAATTTATACTTTAATCTCAGTTAGTATTAATCTTTAGTCTAAGGGGTTTTTCTCCCCACACTTTGCCGGAAACGTTGTATTAGTTACTTTAGGTATTATATGTACTAACTCTATCTATAAATCAAACATTATGTTTGTAACTCATCTTCTATGTATGTATTTTTTCCTGAATAAACATTTTGATTTTGATATGATTTTAGTGTACCCCATAGACATTCCTAATGTACCATTGTATTCTGTTGACGTTCCTACAATCCATTCTCATTTTTATTTTCAATGATTTTCAAAGCATACACTATTGTATATAATATTAATTTGGGAAGCACCAATATTATGTGTAATAACTATTTATTTATTTATGTATATATATACAAGAAGGTTCATTGGGATATTGAGGATACATAGCATAGTGATTACATTCTTGTAAAGCCACTAGTACGCGCAGTGTTTCGGGCAGATCCTTAATCTAACAGAAAATTTTAAGTAGGTAAATACTAACAAAATTTATAAAATGATAACAAGTACATTGCAAGAAAAAAATGAGATGAGAGAGATTTAAATGTTTATTTATTTATTTATTTATTTATTTATATATAGAAGACGGTACATTGGGATTGTGAGGATACATAGCATAATAATTAAATTCTTGTAAAGCCACTAGTACGCATAGCGTATCGGGCATGTATATTAAAGCATATAGGTAGCTCAGATAGATTGCACTGACAGCTTGAATGGTAATTTAACAAAGATTAATAGGCACAATACAGCGTATTGCTAGCACATATAAGAAGACAGCAATGATCACAATGGTATAGTTGATTGGATTAAGTACATAAAGATTGGGTAACACTAGATACAGAGCAAATTTAAAGCACAGAGTAGGAAACAATGTAGATGAAATTAAGTACTTAATTATAATGATTAAGTTGTAACAATAAACTTAATAAGTAATAATAAACTAATAGTGCTTATTATAATTATAAATCCCACACCCATCCTGTGGGCAGTAGAAGACCCAATATGCTAATCCTGTTGGTGGTAGTGGACCCTATACCCATCCTGTGAGCGGTAATAGACCCCATACCCATCCTGTGGGCGGTATTGGACCCCATACCCCATCCTGTGGGTGGTAGTGGACCCCATACCCATCCTGCGGGCGGAAGTGCACCGCATACCCATACTTTGGGTGGTAGTGACCGTATAGCCATCCTGTAGGCAGTAGTGGACCCCATTCCCATCCTGTGGACGGTAGTGCACCCCATACCAATCATGTGGGCAGTAGTGGACCCCATGTCTATCCTGTGGGTGGTAGTGACCCAATACCCATCCTGTGGGTGATAATGATCACCTCTTACCCATCCTGTGAGTTATTGTCAACCCAATACCCATCCTGTGGATGGTAGTGGACCCCATACTTATTTTCTGGCCGGTACTGGACCATATACCCATCCTGTGGATGGTTGTGGACCCCCATACCCATGCTGAGGGTGGTTATGGACCCCCATACCTATCATATGGGTGGTAGTGACCCCATACCCATCCTGTGGGCGGTAGTAGACCCCCATGCCCATCCTGTGGGGGGGGGGGGTAGTGATCCCATATCCATCTTGTGGGTAGTAGTGGCCCCCCCATACCCATACTGTGAGTGGGTGTCTACCCAATACCCATCCTGAAGGCGATAGTTGACCCCATACTCATTTTGTGGGGAGTAGTGGCGCATATACCCTTCCTGTGGAGGGACATGACCCCCATACCCAACCTATGGGCGGTAGTGGACCCCTATACCCATCCTGTGGATGATAGTGGTCCCCATACCCATTCTGTGGATAATAGTAGTCCCCAAAGCAATCCTGTCGGCGGTAGTGAACCATCCTGTGGATGATAGTGATCCCCAAACCCATCGTATGGGCGGTAGTGGACCCCATGCCTATCCTGTAGGCGGTACATGACGTCAATAAGCATATTGTGGGCGGTAATGGACCCATGCCCATCACGTGGGCGGTACTGGACCCCTATACTCATCCTTATGTGGCAGTGGAGGCCATACTCATCGTTTGGGTTGTAGTGGACACAATACTTATCATGTGGGCGCCATACCTATCTTGTGGGCGACAGTAGGCGCCATACCCATGTTGTGGGAAGTAATGGACCCACTACCCACCCTGAGTGCGGTAGTGGACCCCATACGCGTCCTATGGGTGGCAGTTAACCCCATACCCATCCTGTGGGCGGCAGTAGACGATATACTCATCCTGTTGGCGGTAGTTAAGCATATACCCCTTTCCTGGACGGTACTGGACCCTATTCTCATGCTGTAGGCGGCAATGGAGGCCATACCCATCCTGTGGGCGGTAGTAGACACAATTTGCATCCTGTGGGTGATTGTGGACCCCATATCCATCCTGTAAGCGGTATAGTGGACGCCACACACATCCTTTGGGCGGTATAGTGGACGCCACACACATCCTTTGGGCGGTATAGTGGACGCCACACATCCTTCGGGCTGTATTGTGGACGCCACACACATTCTTTGGGCGTAAGAGGAATATATATTCCCATCCAGTGGGCAGTAGTGGACTCTATACTCATCTTGTAGATGATAGTGGTCCCTAAGCTCATCCTGTGGGCAGTAATGGACCCCATACCCATCCTGCAGGCGGTAGTGGACGCCATACTCATCCTGTGGGTGGTAGATGACCATATACACATCCAGTAGGCGGTAGTGAACCCCATACCCTTCCTGTGGATGATAGTGGTCCCCATACCCATCCTGTGGGCAGTTGTTGGGCCCCAGACCCATCCTACAAGTGGTATGGACCCCTTACCCACCTAACAGGAGGTAGTGGACCCTAAACCCATCCTTCAGTAGGAAGTAGACACTATACCATCCTGTTTGCAGCAGTTTACTCCATAGACACTCCAACATAACAACGCTTTCTGTTGACGTTCCTACAATACATTCTCTATAGATATTTAAAGCACAGACTAGTGTATATAATGTTGATTGGTGAAGCACTTTTATTTTATGTAATAAATTATAGTGCTTATTATAATTTACTAAGAACATATAATATTTCTTAAAAAAAAACTACGAGCCTTCAATAGGATGTAGCTGATCTGTAATATTCTAAGAGCATGGACAATAGTAGGTAAACTTCACAACCCATGTGGGACCTGAAAACTACAATTTTCATTATAATTCAACCATTCACGACTGTTCTGCTGTTTACGGCGATGGACGAGTACTGTGAGACGTAAATTGGTACGTGAGGAAGAGTTTGGGCATTGAAAAAAGTATAACTGGGAATATACAGCATATGTACTAATTCATAAGCAAAATATTGACTATAAGCAATAAGTCATATATGTGCTGTCTTATGCAAGAGCGGGTTGCTCATCAAGACTGTAACTTGAAATATGTACCGAGTTCATATAGACATTAACTTGAACTATGCACCTACCTCATCAAGACTGTAACTTGAACTATGTACCTAGCTAATCAAGACTGTAACTTGAACTATGCACCTAGCTCATCAAGACTGTAACTTGAACTATGTATCAAGATCAACAAGACTGTAACTTGAACTATGTACATAGTTCAACAAGACTGTAACTTGAACTATGTACCTAGCTCATCAAGACTGTAACTTGAACTATTCACCTAGCTCATCAAGACTGTAACTTGAACTATGTACCTAGCTCATCAAGACTGTAACTTGAACTATGTACCTCCATTATGTCCCTCTAACATGTTCCTCAACCACTCACAGGTTTTTTAACATAACCCAGAAATTCTCAAGAACGGTTGGTATACTCTCTAAAATCAGATATTATATACCAATGTGTTTTTTTCTCTCTCTCTCTCTCTCTCTCTCTCTCTCTCTCTCTCTCTCTCTCTCTCTCTCTCTCTCTCTCTCTCTCTCTCTCTCTCTCTCTCTCTCTCTCTCTCTCTCTCTCTCATTATATATATATATATAATGAGAGAGAAAATATATATATATATATATATATATATATATA